CGAGAAGAGGAAAGAAAGGCGCCGGTACGGGACGGTGGAGAGGAAACCGTGGAGGAGATCGATTTTGACTCTCGGCAGACAGCACGTATATTCGATTTAGTAAAGGAAAAAAACAAAGTACAGCAGTATACCAGGTTTTCCTCTCTTTTATACTCCCCCGTTCCAAAATAACTGACGCGAGTAGGAATTTTGCAAAATAGTCCTTGAAATTTTCCGTACTCAACAAGTAGTCCACGTCTGGTTTGGACACGACTCGCACTCGCTCTTTCTCTGCACTCGCTCCACTTCTCGCTCTGCTCCCGCCCCCCGCCGCTGTACTTTGCTCCGGCTCGCCACCGCATTCCACTCTTCTCCCTCTCTTCCACCTTCCCTCGCATCGCCGCGCTCCCCTCCACCTTCACTTGCCTAGCCGCGCTCCCCTCCATGTTCCGACAGCAAACCTTCGAAAAGGTTGGACCTTTCAGTCCAAGAAGGCGACGGTTTGCTAGATCCGGCGCCGGTGAGGCCGGATCCGGTGGCTACGAGTCTGGACGCGCCGGACCCGAACCACCACCAACACCAGATGGGGGCCACAGCGGCAGGACGTCGGTGAGGTGTTGTCGTCCATGACGACGCGACAACGGCGATGCGAGCCACAGACTTGCGGGTGGGAGGAGATGAGACATCGCCCTTCACCGCCGCCAAGCTCGTGCCGCCGGTGGCCATGAATTTCAAAGGTCCTTCTGTGCGTCCTCCTCCGCTGATGCAGCCCAGCGCGGCGCCTTGGCTCCATCGTCCTCAACGGCCGGTGAGACATCTCCTTCTCTCCTAGCCCTAGTGAAAAAAATTCATCTTGTGCAGATTGTCTGATTACAATTGGAGTAACTAACATGATCAGATGGATACTCCTGAAAGCACACTCTGTAATGTGATAATGACAATGTAATTCTTCAGATTAGAGTATTTATTTTGCTAAAAGCACACTTTATGTGATAATGACAATGTGTTCAATAGAATTCTCAGCAAGCACACTCTCTAAAACGAACATCGGGATTGTGTGGCAGTAGCTTGCAGCTGAGCAGTCATGTCTGCACACTCTCAGTTATCCTACTCTTAAAATCATTGAAAAAGCATAAGTCTCTTCCAAGCTGGGCACACATATGCAATGAAAGAAGTAGCAGTAGCTTTAGGGGATGAAAGGAGTTGATGAACATCTTGAAAATTAGTGTGGTGTTGTTCATAAACAAGAAACATGACAGTATCTACAAAGGAAAGCGCTGGTAAGTAAGGAAAGATCTGGACTAGGTACAGTTATAATTTTAAACAAGGAAAGCTCTTGCAGATGAACATGTTTTTACCAGTTGTCATGTTTCTTGTTTTTCTTGAAAAGAGTATTATCAGTAAATGGACTAGATGAACTTAGTAGTTAGAGTAGATAAACTTGTTTTTCTTTGTATCAATACTCCAGGAGTAGATGAACTTGTTTTCGGTACACACCTCATGATGTAAAATCAGACATGTACTCCCCTCAATTTTGCATAAGTTTATTTGCACAAAGAATACCCCCTTGTTCCTCTTTTCTATGAGTGTGTATTATCTGGTATATGTGTCAAAGAGAGAAAGAGATGAGTATATTTGCACAAAGAATACTCATATGTTCCTCTTTCCCTTCTGTAGCTTTGTTTGTGTGTGACAAAACTTATTTTACACAAGTATTTTACACATAATTATTGTGCACAATTATTTTACATTGTTTGTGATACAATTAATACACAAAACATAAACCTTTTCTTTCTTTTCTCTATGCAGTCCTTCCCTTTCTCTATGTAATCATTTCCTTCCCTTTTTGTATGCAACCCCTTCCTTTTTGCCCCCCCCCCCTCAATCTTCTAATAAGGTCCAAGGACTATGCAACTAGCTCACCCTTGCAAGATAGAGCGAGAGGTAGCCTTCCTTCATTCCACCGACGTTCTTTATTCATGTGACGGATTTTGTAGCCTATTCCTCGTTGTTTCATATTCTCCACCATACATGACTAGAGTGTGAAGAAGCTTCAAGCCAGCTTGTTGACCTCGTAGTTCTGCTTTTATTGCTCCATAGCTTCTATCAATTCCTTGATATTTGTAGGTGCTCTGTAATCGATTAGGGACTGAACAGAACTGAAGAAGCACATGTCTAAAACATCCATGTCAGGATTGTTTGGTGGTTGTTGCATCAACTAAATGTCTAGATCTGTCTATGCTACAACATGTAGGAAAGCCTTGTCATTAGGTAGAACATGAGGTCTTGCATTATCCTGATGGATAAAGATGGTTCTGCCAACACCTTTGTTGGGCCACATGTCTTGGATAGCAAGGATCACTTTCTAGCACAGAAATTCCCTTATGACATAGGGTCAAAATCATTGATTTCAGTGCGAGAGTCTCCCTTTCTTTGTTTTGACTTCTTCTAACAGTCGGAGTCTCTTTGACAAAGACCCAAGTGCCAATCTTGCCGTCAAATGTGACAACTCCACCTTCACCATATCTTGGCTTGGCCACAGCTGTAAGAAACAACACCTTCCCAATGTTATTCTTATTCTGCACGGTGTGTAATGGTTCAGGTTCTTTGGGGAGTAGATAGTAGGTGTTCTTCTTCGTAGTCATATCAAACCACTTCTCATCAATGTCGACCATGTTGGTCATTTTCTTGAAAATAGGCCTCGAAGATGTGATCTAATTCTCATCGAGCATGGAGATGTAGAACTTTAATCTTGCAATCTTATTAGCTGATAACATAAGATGAAATTGCTTGTAGGGTACAAAACCACCTCAAAGTTATTCTTTCTGATCAATATTTTGAGCTATTCCTATAAGTGTCACAAACATCCTTAGAGTTCGTACTAAAATAACACCATATGATACACATCAATCAACCCTAATGTCACCTAGACACTCCAATGTCACCATAAGTATCCATGGGTCAATTATACGATATGCATCAAACAACTTCAGATTCATAATATTCAATCCAACACAAAGAACCTCAAAGAGTGCCCCAAGATCTCTACCGGAGAAATAAGGACGAAAACGTGCATCAACCCCTATGCATAGATTACCCTAATGTCACCTCGGGAATCTGCGAGTTGAGTGCCAAAACATACATCAAGTGAATCAATAGAACACCCCATTGTCACCATGAGTATCCCACGCAAGACATACATCAAGTGTTCTCAAATCTATAAAAGTATTCAATCCGATAATAGTGAAACCTCAAAGGTAAAACTCAATTCATCACAAGAAGATGGAGAGGGAGAAATACCATATGATCCAACTATAGTAACAAAGCTCGCGGTACATCAAGATCATGCCAAATCAAGAACACGAGAGAGAGAGAGAGAGAGAGAGAGAGATCAAACACATAGCTATTGGTACATACCCTCAAATCCGAGGGTGAACTACTCCCTCCTCGTCATGGAGACCGCCGGGATGATGAAGATGGCCTCTGTCGGATTCAGGGCTCCACTGACTCAAAAGAGGTTCAAACTCTGGGGCGTGCGCGAAGAACTCAACCTCTCCAGTCAACCAGTTCACCACCCCCACGGCCTTGCTCGGTGAACAAGAAAGGAAAGGGACTCAGCAATTTACCCAAGTTCGGGCCACCTTGCAGCGTAAGACCCTACTCCTGCTTTTGGGTGGATTAGCCTCGCGACGGGCTGAGGATGAACTAGTACAGAGGAAGAACAACCTCAGGAGGTCTGTTCTTGTGTGGGTGTGAGCTAGTGAGGATTCGGGGTATCGGATCCCTTCCTACGGTGGTGGCTAAGCTATATTTATAGTGGCCTTGGTCCTCTTTCTCCGAACGAAGGCGCGAAGAGATCCCACAGTGGCCAATTTTGAAGGGGGACAAGAAGTACATCCTATCCTGACAAAAGGTGATCTTCGCCTGCAAAGCTTCTGGTCGTGACGCCATGGTGGGATCGGCGATGACATCCGTCCTGCCGTCCTAACGGTCTTGGTCTTGTTGCACGGGAATGAAAACCTTTGGGTGATTCCTCGGGACCCCGTGCCTACGCTTGCCTCCTTAGCACCAAAGAGGAAACCTGCTGCCCTGCGCCCGCTGGCGCTCGCCTGGCCTGAAGGAAATATGCCATAGAGGCAATAATAAAGTTGTTATTTATATTTCCTTATATCATGATAAATGTTTATTATTCATGCTAGAATTGTATTAACCGGAAACTTCATACATGTGTGAATACATAGACAAAACAGAGTGTCCCTAGTATGCCTCTACTTAACTAGCTCGTTAATCAAAGATGGTTAAGTTTCCTGGCCATAGACATGTGTTGTCATTTGATGAACGGGATCACATCATTAGAGAATGATGTAATGGACAAGACCCATCCGTTAGCTTAGCATAATGATCGTTAAGTTTTATTGCTATTGCTTTCTTCATGACTTATACATATTCCTTTGACTATGAGATTATGCAACTCCCGAATACCGGAGGAACACCTTGTGTGCTATCAAACGTCACAACGTAACTGGGTGATTATAAAGATGCTCTACA